TAAAGAAAATTCTGATCTTCCTTCAGATGTTAATTCTACCCAGGCAGCTTTTAACTCTATGTTTACTAGTGGGCTGAAGCAGGACCTTTCCCTTCTAGCAAAAAGGAACAGGATGGAATGAAAAACTGTGTCCACTCCAGATTTAGTTAATCTTGCAAACCAGTTCTCTCACTTTCTTAGAGGAGTCACCTAAAAGGGAGACAGCTAAAATCCTTTATCTTCAACTCCAGCAAATGAAGGCTCCTAAATGAAACCAAAACCCTCCTATTTGTTTTAGGTCAAATAGGTCCTAGTTTAGGCCCTACTTTCTGCTATTGTTGCAAAGAGCCTAGACTTCGGAAAAGAGATTGTACAAATCTAAGTGCTTCAGGCACCTTCAGTCTTCTAACCAGCTTTTCCACCATCCTCCCAATTCTCAACAACGGGGCTCCTCTCAATCCTCCCTCTTAACTGGCTTAGAGAAACGTTTCTCCAGATTGGGGGCGAATCTCTTCAGTCCTAATTGACACTTGGAGCCACACTCTCAAGGCTCAGCCCCACTACTATAAAGCAGCCCCTGCCTCAGAGTAAACAGTTCAAATAGTGGGGATCTCCAATGAACCTCAACAGGCTCCTGTCTCTGAACCTATTCCACTCTGTTTAGGCCCTCTGAGAGATACACACATTTTTCTTCTTAGTTCCTCCACCTCTATCCATTTATTATGCCGAGACTTCTTAGAGAAGCATCAGGCCAGAAGTTCTTTCTCCCAAAAGGGGGAAATAATTCCAGAATTTGACAGTAGTCATCAGAGTAAACAACAATGTGAATTAAACGACTCTTTGATATCTTTCATTTGCTCCATCTCTGATGATACTAGAGCTGATTCTGGAAACACAGATCATTTGTCCCTATTGAATCAGCTACCATCCTTTTTATGGGCAAAATCTCCACTGACACTGGCAAAATTCACAGCACATCTCCCATCGAGATTCAAACAGATCTCTCAAAATCTCTTCCCAGAATTGACAATGTATAAGTAAAGAAGCCATCCCAGGCATAAAGCCCGTAATTGAAGATTACAAGGTTGAGGGCCTCATTAGTCCTTGTACTAGCCCCTGTAATACTCCCATTTTACAGATGAGGAAACCTAAAAGCCAAGGGTGTAGGTTTGTCCAGGACTTCCAAGTAATAAACAACATAGCTATCCCTTGACACCCTGTTGCTCCCTTCATACGTTCCTAACAGTCATTCCCATAGGAGGTAAATTCTTTACTGTAACTTGATTTATGCAGTGCATGCTGTAACATTCCGGTTGAACCTAGCGAATAACTTTTTGCCTTCACTTGAGAAGAAAAATTATTCACCTGCACAGTAATACCTCATGGTTTTACTGAGAGTCCTTATTTCTCAAAATTCCTGAAGGCTGATCTCGATGATACAAAGTTCCCTAGAGGTTCTACTTTGCTTCAATATGTAGATGATTTGCTTCTTTGCCCTTTCTCAGACCTCCTCATAGGAAGTCATCATCTACCTGCTAACGATTTCAGCCTTAAAAGGACATATGGCAGTGAGTATAAATTGCAGTTTGCCCCAAACCCAGGTTCATCATTTACGGCATCTGATATCAGAACAAGGGCTACACTTAGTTCCAGACAGACTCCCTGGTGTCCTAAGTTTCTCTAAACCCAAAACTAAGCACCAACTGTGAGGTTTTCTTGGGCTAGTTGGTTATTGCCAAAATTGAGTTCCAAATTTCTCTCTCATAGCCAAACCTCTGTATGTTTTACTGAAGCACAACTCCAATCCAATTTTATGGAAAGAGCCAGATACACAGATTTTAAGGCCTTAAAGGAGAGTTTGAAGAACCCACCTGCCCTTAGGCTAGGCATCCCAGTGATCAGATTCCCTTTTTGTATACGAAAAAGAAGGGAATGCCCTTGGGATACTCACCCAAAAACATGGAGACCACCGTCGACCCATAGGGTATTATGGCCAGCAACTTGACCCTGTAACACGGAAATACCCTTCTCGCCTCGAGCCATCAAGGCCACTACCCTTGTGGTTAAGACCGCTGAGAAAATCATTGTGGGATCTCCTTTAATCATTTCTGGACCTCATGCAATAGCCCTCCTAAATTCTCATCACACTCAACATTTCTGTCAGCCTTCTCACCTCCTTTGGAGTCCTTTTGTCAGCTGCTCTTCACATAACTCTTCTACGTTGTAATAACCTTAACCCTGCTACTCTTCTCTCCTCTGTCACTGAGGAAGTCCCTCACAACTGCTTAACCCTGACAGACCACCTCCTGACTCCTCATAACGATGTCTAGGAAATTTCAGTCGGTAACACTGACTTCTCACGTTCACTGATGGCTATTTAAAAGGGGACAATGGCAGATGTTGTGCTGGGGATGTTACTGCAACTTCTTTTGATGTTGCTGAGGCAGCATCTTTACCTACGGCTACTTTGGCCCAACAGGCTGAATGATATGCTCTCACACAGGCTTGTACTTTAGCCAAGGACAGAACTGCCAATATCTATATCGATAGTAGATACGTTTTCGGAGTAGCTCATGATTTTGGAATGTTGTGGAAGCAATGTGGCTTCCCTATTTCCAGCAGAAATAAAATTAAAAATGGCCCCCGTGTTCAGGAATTATTGGATGCAACACTTTTATCCACCCTTGAGTTATTAGTAAGATTCCAGAGCATTCTAAACTGGACTCTCTGGAAGCTAAGGTAAATCACCTTGCCGAAATTTCTGCAAGGAATTCCGCCTTTAAAGGAACCACAGCAGCTAAACTTCTGTCATGGTCCAAAGGGATATTTCCTCAAGTGATACCTTTAAAAACTGGCTCGGGAAGCCCAAAAACTGGCCTCAGGAAAAGAAAAACAAGATTGGGAATTCAACGACTGTTGGTTTGATAAAAAAGAGAAAGCTCTGGTTCAGGCCAAGTAACAACCCAGTCCTACCCACTCCTCACCACTGTACATGCACTAAACCACTGGCCTAACAAAATGACAGCCTTCATGAGTCAGTACTGGTGGGGAAACACTAACAATGCCACAGAAAGCACCTACTCATTGCTCCCCTTGTCTGAAGTACAACCCAGGGAAGTCTGTTTGTACTGCTCCTGGACATTTTAAATTGCCTGATGGATCATTTGAGATCTGGCAAATGGATTTCATACAATTTCCTCCACTTCGTGGATGTAAGTATGTTTTAGTCATGGTATGTATGTTTTCACACTGGACTGGAGCTTGCCCTTGCAGATAGGTTACTGCCTCTTCTGTGACTGAAGTGCCTTGGGAAAGATTATCCCTACCTGGAGAACTCCGCTTCAACTTCATAATGACAGAGGAACCCATTTCACTGGCCAGGTGCTTCAAAAAGTCTGTGCTGTTTGGCCAGTTTTACACTTTCACTGCACTTACCACCCCCTATCCTCTGGTTTGGTCAAACACACTAACAGCATTATTAAGACTCAACTGGCAAAATGTGTAGAGGCCCTCCAAATACCTTGGTCAAAGGCATTGCTGTTGGTCCTTCTAAATCATAGACCCACCTCTTTTGGAACTTTTACACCCTTTGAGGTATCACAGGATGCCCAGTGCACTTGGTTCCTGCCTCTTTTTTTTTTTTTTTTTGAGGTACGCGGGCCTCTCACCGCTGCGGCCTCCCCCGTCGCGGAGCACAGGCTCCGGACGCGCAGGCGCAGCGGCCAATGGCCCACGGGCCCAGCCGCTCGCGGCATGCGGGATCCTCCCAGACCCGGGCACGAACCCGCGTCCCCTGCATCGGCAGGCATACCCTCAACCACTGCGCCACCAGGGAAGCCCGGCTCCTGCCTCTTTTGACCCACAACCAATAAGAAGAGAGATACTGCAATACTGCAAAGGCCTAATTGCTTCTATTAAAAATAACCATGTTTTGGTAAGCAACCTTTTCACAGTGCACTCTTGGGAAATGAAGATGTTAAACATCACACCCTGCAACCTGGAGATTTCATCTATTGGAAAAGACACCTCCAGAAGGACTCTCTTCAACCTTGCTGGAAAGGTTGCTATCAGGTACTGCTAACCAACCCTTGTGCCGCAAAACTCCAAGGAATACAACTCTTGGATTCACATGACACACCTAAAGAAAGCATCAAACCCTGTCTGGACCTGCAAATCATCTGGTGACCTGAAAGTAAAGGCTTCCCTGAACTGAAGCAGACGACATCCGATGAGCCAGCTTTCTAAAGATATTCAGACTAGGCCTGTTGGAATTTTGTCACCAAACCTTTGATTACATAAGGCTTCAGATAATCTCTACCGTTTAGGATCTTGGTAAAAGACACGGACTTCAGATAAAAAGTGCCTAAGAGTTGTCCCTCCTACCCCTCCTTGTTACTTAAATATGACCTCAACAGATCTCCAATCTGTGCACTTTCCCTCTGATGTGGGACACTACACCCAGGAAACGTCCTTCCTTGTATTGAGGGATAAAAAGACCCTGAAACTGGAAAGCCTGACTCAGATTAGTGATGCTTTCAGAGATGCATCTTGATCGAAAGGGGAAGTGTAAAAACATTAATAAGAGTTGGGAGACCAGAAGGGGGAGGGCTCATGCCCTGTGATGGTAGCAGAGCCCAACAGAAAGAAAGATCTCCTCTTCGTTCCTGACGAGGACTCGGCCAATGAAAAGCCATGGGCTCTTGTTTACTATAGCCTTCCCAAATTCCTTTTCCCCTCTGTAAGAGCGTTTTCCTTTCCATCTTTGCTGGGGACTTGCACATGGCTTGCCATGGTTGCAGACCCATTCTCTGCTGATCCTGAATAAACCCGTTTTTGTTGGTGAAATAACTGGAAGTCTATTTGTCTTAGGTCCACATCCCCCACCCTCACCAGCACCCCGTAGCAGACCTCTGGGCAGAGCCAATGCCCATGCTCCCCGGTCACCCACACCAGCAACACGTTCAGAAAATACAGCTTAGTTTGTTCCACGTGCTCATTTCATGACAGCTTGAACTGGGTGTATGTCGGGGGCTGGCGGTCCACACAGACAGGGCTCCCACTTGGGAGGGGTGAGGACTTGGGGCAGCAGTGCATCTTCCACCTGGAAACATTCAGGGACCAGAACACCCACAGCATCTGGCTCAAATGGCACCCTCCATTTCCAGAGAGCAGAAGTGGGGGCCAGCTAATAGGATCAGGCATTTCTCGGCTGGAGGGGAAGGTACTCAAGGCCCAAGAGTCTGAAGATGTCTTCCTCTGAAGCCACGTGGAGAAACATCTTCTGCAACAGAGTGCAAGCACGAGTGCTTGGGAGCCACTCCACCACCGCGGCAGCTTCCCGGAGACAGGTGTGGGGAGGAGGCTGGAAGGGCAGGCAGAGCCCAGCCCCGCGGTGGGGTGCTTCTTGAGGGCCCTGTGGGTCCCAGGCTGGAGGGCCCTGGGGCCGATGCAGACTGTGGGCCGGGCAGAGAGCCGTTTTCCCCACCCAGGCCTCCCGTCCCAGCAACACACCTGCCCCGGATCAAACAGACCATGGCTGTTCAGCCAGAGCCCTTCCGGCTCTCCTTCCAGCTGAAGCGGCGCAGCTCCCGCTCGAAACGCTGGGGGAAGAGTGACTGCATGAGCAGGGCCACCAACCCCAGACCCCAAGGCGGCCGCAGCAGCACACTCCCTACCTTGGAGCCAGTCCAGCCGAGTAGCGAGTAGCGCAGAGGGGAACTGGCTGATGGGGGTGACCACCAGGTGGTCGGGGTGGGGCAAGGCCTCTGGGCGCCCCTACAGCATCCCCTGGGGGTTGTGGCAGGTGGAAAATGCAGAAAGTCCCCTCGAAGGCATCCATGGTGTAGCTCTGCCGGGGCAGGTGGGTGGGGTCGTCTGCCTGCCGGCTGCGCTGGTGCTGGCGGTACAGGACAAGGTCCTGGGGGAGAGCAGACATGGCCGGGCACCACCATGTGGGGCTGGGACAGGAACCAGGATCCTGGCAGGACCGTCAGCGGGGGGAGCAGGAAGCCCTTCACCTGCTTCTTCAGGCAGCACATCACTCTGGGCAGCAGCCCTGCCTCCCGGCCCTCCTGGGGGTGGGTGATGAGGAAGTCCACGTCGTGGCCCGGAGGGGGCCAGTCTGACTCTCAGCCTCCGTGTTCTCCCGAATCCCTTCAGTGAGGGAAGGCCCACCTCAGTGGTCCCGCCTCAGACGCCTTCACTGGGAAGGGCCTGGAGCTGAGCCAGAGGGCGTGTGGAGCCCCCTGACCTCCAGAAGCCGCCGGTCGGCCCCAGGAAGGGCCTGCCCCACGGCTGCCTCCACCGCCTGCTGCAGGGTCTCCACATCTGACCGCAGGATCCGGGTGCTCAGGTCCTGGTGGTGCTGGAGTCCTGTGGGCAGCACAGCTCTCCTGACCTGCCCAGCCCGGCCCTCTCTAGCTGTCTCCCACTACCCACTCCTCTCCCTTAAATATCAAACGCTTATTCTGAAACAATTGTAGGCTCACATGCCGTTGAAGGAAATAACAGAGGTCCCCTGTGCCCTCTGCCCAGTTCCCCGCAGCGGTAACATCTTGCAGAACTACTGTAGGTCACACCAGAATTCTGATGCTGACACAATCAAGATACAGACTATCCCTTTCAACGCCTCGGTTTTCCCATCCATAAAACGGGGCCGGGAGGTGATAAAGAGATGTGAAGATGGCTCTGCCGCTTAACAACACCTTGCTCTAGCCCATGTCCACCTCCTCCCCTGTCAGAGGGATCACAGGGCCTTCCACACACACAGTTAGGAGAGGTTTACGTGAGGGAATAAACAGCCCCGGGCAGGATGCGCGCTCAGTAAGCGCTGCGGGCCTCTCCTGCGGGGAGAGAACACTGAACGGAACCGACGGATGCCACCATCACGCTCCACCGGACGCACGGCACTGTGGTCTCACGTCCTGCTGACCAGCCAGGAGACTCTCCCAGGACCCCCAGCTGGCCTCCCCTCCCCCAGACCCTGGGAAGATTGTTCAAAGAGGCAACGAGTGCTGGGCTGTGGGGCTCCTTCAGCAGGGTCCCCGATCCAGGCCACACGGAGAGAACACAGAGTCTGCTCAACACCTGCGACCTGCTGGCCTCACGCCAAGGAGCTCACGGGATCCCATGCTTTACAGAGAACGTAATTCAGGCTCAGAGAAGTCAAGACTCAGGGCCACGGTCTCCTACCTAGTAAGCGGCAGAGATGGGACTCAAACCCAGGCCTGACAAACTCTCAAGTTCACGTTCTCTCCACCGCTCGGCACCACCTCCCACTAGCAGGCTCCTCACTGAGCCTCTCCCCACTGAGCACAGGTCCCCACGCCATCAGCCAGTGGGCCAAGGCGCCAAGCAGCATACAAGCAAGCGTGCCCAGGGCCCGGGCTGCTCTGACATGCACTCCCCTCTACGGAATCAGGAGTAAGGGGTACATGCCTGGTCCAGGTCCAAGTCTCACCAGGAGGTCCTGAATGGCACAGCAGCTACTCTGACCATTATCGCTCACTGAGAAGGGGCTGCACCGGGTCCTGACTCCACTGGGTCAGGAAGCCCGCCAAATAAAGATGCCCGTCTTCACACTCACCCCGTTCCCTGCCACAGAGGCAGCCACGAGCATATGCCATGCGTCAGAGCTAAGGGCTCCATGGTGTGGGAGGCTTTCAGGCACAGGTGCTTTGGGGAAGCCCAGGGCCCAGCGCTCCCAGAGGGCTCACCTGCTCTCTGCCGCTGGGTCAGTCTCTGGGGCTGCTCTCGGAGGTCGTCCAGCGTCCGCAGCCCCTCCTGGTACCACCGGTCAGCGGTCCTTACCCCGACCCCAAAGATCTGAGTGAAGAGCTGTTCTGAGGATGAGCACCGCGAAGCTGGTCAGGAGCAAGCTCTTACAGCGAGACGCGGATGACGACACTGATCCGTGCAAGGTGTGTCCCAGGACAGCACCACTGCAGCGTTACACAAGTGGCCTCATTAAGTCTTCGTCTGGCCGGGCAAGCGGCATCCCCACTCACATTCTTCAAGTTTAAGCAACGTGCTCAAGGCCACACAGCGAGTGCACAGGCAGGACTCAAACCCCGAGCCTGGCCTACACAGCCCACCCTCACAGGGGACGGCAGGGAAAGACCCCACATGCTCCCTCCCCAGGCCTCGGTCCCCTCCTCGAGCAGGGTCTCTCCCCAGAACTTGTACAGTTCTAGCCTATGATTCCAACATCACCAAAGTAGGCGTCCTGACAGTCCGTCCATTCACTGGGAAAACCATACCATCCCACCCAACAGCAGCTGGGACTTATTACTGTGGCTCTGCCTCTTAACAGGCAGCAAAAAAGGGCAGTTAACAGCCAGGGGGTTGTTTTAGCAGGATCTGGAAGGAACAGGTTAGGGCTGGCTGGGGCTCTGTTCCAGGTTCAAACACAATTGCCACCGCCTGGCCACGGGTCAGCAGAGACGTCCAGGCCAGTGGAAACTAACTATGCTGCTGGAGCTGACCTCTCGTGGGGTGGCCAGCTGCCCTCACACGGGTATCCCACACACAGGGTGGGCGCTAGCAACTCACCTGTTTCTTCCTTGACTATAGCTCGTTGGACAGGGGTGGGCACTTGCCCTAGGCCAGCCACTCAGAGCCCCTCCCCGGGGACTTCTGAAACACAAGAGCAGGCCCAGGGGAGGAAGAACAGCTGGGTGGCACTCGTGTCCCTGAGCCCCACTTCCTGCAGACCAGCTGTAGCCTGCCCTTTTGGGACTGTGCTGGCCATCCTTCCCTAGATCCCCTGAACCAAGAGCATGAACTGGATGGGAAAGATGCTGAGAATAACCTAATCATGTTGTTTATAACAGTAAACTTCTAACTGTTCACGTACTTCTCTCCTGGCCTGGATGCCTTCTGGGACTCAGGGGTACCCCGGGGGAGGTAGCAGATGGCTCTGCCCTCTCTCACCGCTTCTCCAGCTACTAATTCCTGTGTTGCCTCCACACCCCTGAGCCCCCCGCCCCCCGTCCTTCACACAGGGTTCCTCTCCCTTTTTGAAGCCCCCCCCAACCCCCGACCAGTCGCTGATCTGACAACCTCCAGCCACAAAACCGGGGTGTCTAAAGAGCCCGACCAAGGCATCCACAAGAGCTCTGGCAGCTCCGTTATCAGACCAGAAATGGGCGGGACCAGTGGAAAGGTGCGCCGTGGACACAGGCAGGACGCCACCAAGAAAATGAGTACGTGAGATCACAAAGGTGGAGACACTGCAAGGGTGAGCAGCCCCACAGATTTAACGGTCCCCGTGGCACCCGGAAAAAGGTTCTGTTTTGTTCAGTATGCTCTGTGTAAAATGCCAGAGCGTGTGATATACTTGAGAATATGCCATCAATAGTCAAATAAGAACAGATGGTGCCGAGTGATCTAGAAAATTCCCTGTGCTCAAAACAAGCTTCTCGTCCGCCTCCATTTGGCTGCCTCGTGTACATCGGGTGTCGGCTGAGCTGCCAGTTCCTCAGTGAGACCTTCTCTGACCCCGGGGGGGACCCACCGCCCCCACCTGCCACCTGACACGGCGTGAACCGTGTGCTGTGGCTCTGGGGGAGGACCGTGGAGTTCCGTGCCCCTGCCGGGGGCTGCCCTGCGTACCTTCATGGCCTGGTACCTCTCCGAGAGCCGGACTCTCTCCACCTCCTCACACACTCCGCGTTCCAGCAGCTCCTGTGGGAGAAGACAAAGCCTGACTGGAAAGAGGAGAGCTGGGGGCCCAAGGTCCAGCAGGGGGGTTTTGTGGGAGCAGGATCCCGGGGGACTTGGAAATGAAGACTGTGCCCAGGGAGCCTCCAAGCCAGCCCCTAGGGTGGGGAACGTGGGCCACCTCTCAGATAAATAGCAAGCCCTGGGATACGTAAACAACTGCTTTTAAAACATAGGTGAATTCAACAAGACTTCATTTAAAGGCTTAAGTGGGGCTTCCCTGGTGGCGCAGTGGTTGAGAGTCCGCCTGCCGATACAGGAGACACGGGTTCGTGCCCCGGTCCAGGAAGATCCCACATGCCGCGGAGTGGCTGGGCCCGTGAGCCATGGCCGCTGAGCCTGTGCGTCCGGAGCCTGTGCTCCGCAACGGGAGAGGCCACAACAGTGAGAGGCCCGCGTACCGCAAAAAAAAAAAAAAAAAAAGCTTAAGTGAATTCAGAAGTATCTTTCCCGTCGTGATATATTCGCTCAGTGGTAAGTGTACAAAAGGACAACTTCACATTCTGGGTCCTCAAATACTTCGCATTGTAAAAAGAGGTGCGCATGCTCAGGGGTCCTCTTCCACCATCCTGGACAGTCTGAGCTGATCCAAGTGGTGCCAGCTACCAGCCTGCCAGGCTCCCGGCAGCTCCCTTGGCTGAGTCCCCTCGGTCCCCCTAGGGCAGATGCTGTGGCCCCAAGTTACACGTGAGGAATCTGAGTGAAGAGGGTGGCCGGCCGCAGCTGGGCTCTGAGCCACCAAGCCACCTGCCCTCACCAGGCCCTGAGGCCCCCTCGCCTCCCCCCCACCCCGCCCTGCTAAGTGCAGGGAGCACCGACCTGGACGACCCTGCACGAGTGTTCTCCAAAGTGGGCCAGGCCACGCAGCTGGCTCAGGGCCGTGACCGGGCTGGGAAGGACCTTGAGCGCTGAGGCCGTTCTGCACAAGAAGAGTTGGCGGCCCTCACTGCTGGCTAAGCCCGCAGCCTCCGCCAGCATCTCCAGAGCCTCCTGCAAGGAGGGGCCCTTGGGGAGGGGCAGGCATGGCGGGGTACCTCACCACACCCCTCCCTCCAAGGCTGGGACAGGGGAGGGCCTGGCCCCATCCCAGGGAGGCAGGGGACCCAGGGCTCACCGAGAGGCCGGCGTGGTGGTGCGTGAGGGGTGTGGGGCGCTGGCAGGCACAGGGCAACCTCCATGCTGGGCGTGGCGGCCCCTTCCCGCACACAGCCACCTGGGGAAGGGCAATATACAGGCCGCTTCGAGGCTGCAGGGTGGGCAGGGGCCAAGGAAGCCCCTCGGAGCCCTGCCTCTCCTGGGTGGTCACCTAGGGCTCTCGGGACAGACGGGGCCGACCCTCCGAGAGCACGACTGCCAGAGGCACGGGGCAGAGGCCAGAGCGGCGCGAGTGGCACCACCTGCCCCCGCACGTGCTGTGTGTGCCCCACCTCCCGGAACCCCCTCCGGAGTGGGCTGGGCTGCCTGTCACCCCCACTCCACAGACGGGGACACCGAGGCCTCGTGGCTCACAGGCAGAGTCAGGATTTGAATGCGGGCAGCCCTGCTCGGAGCCCACACCTGCAGCCCCCAGCTGTGCTCACCCAGGAAGCACAGAGGTGGGCGGAGGCCATGAACCTCACAGCACCCCGAGGACGGCCTCCTGCTGGCCCCACTTGGGGTCACAGTCTCATCCACTTGGTTAAGCAAGAAAGGCCTAAAGATGCTAAAAATAAGTGGATCTCAAGAGAGTTTGCACCAATGGTGAGAGGAGAAGCGGGAGCGGCCTGGCTTCCCAGGGCCCCTTGGTGGTCTGGGCTGAACCCTCACCGCCCACCTCATGTGAAGGACACTGAGGCACGGCTGCCGTGTCACCTGGTGTCACCTGTCCCAGCTGAGCTCCGGCCTGCGCTGGGGCCTTCTCTGGGGCTCCACCCTCATCCTTCACCCAGCTCACCTCCAGGCAGTGCCGGCACTCCACAGGGACTGGCTGCCCAGCCGCCATGCTCTCCGTGAACCAGCTTACGTCTAAGAGCACTGGGCAGGTGCATCCTGGGTGAAGGGCCGCCGTCCTGCGCTCCTGCTGGCAGACGGCCTCCTCTGCTGAGGTCCCCTCCATCATGACGTGTGTCACCTCTGAGCTGGATGGAGGGAAGAAGAGGAAGTGAGGCCCAGAACCATTTCCCAGACCTGCCATTCTTCCTGCTTCACTCCATGCCTCCAGGCCTTTGCTGTTACTATCCCCTCTGCCTGGTGACCACCTATTCATTCTTCAGAAAGACCTCCCAGCCCCTCCTCCTGGCAGACAAACATCTCCACCACTCCAGCATCTGCAGAGCTGTGCGTGGTTCTCGGCTCTAGCTATGATGACAAGACCAACCCTTTTTTGTGTTAACTTGTCTGTCTCCCTCTCCCCCCAACCCCAGAGGAAGGAGAGGCCAGGGGTACAGGGGCCAGGACCAGGAGGGGGTCTTCATCGAAGTGCTGGAGACAGACTGCTTGGGTTTGAACCTCAGCTCTGCCACACACTTGCTATGTGCCCTTGGGCACATCACTTATCTCTGTACTTTGACTGCCTCATCCACAGAGCAGAGATAATAACATATCTACTTTGCAGGGTTGCAAAGATTAAATGAGCTAATAAGCAAAACGGCTTAGATAGTGCCCAGTACACTCTAGGCCGTGGTCATCATCCTCTCCTGAGTGGGTCTGCTGCACCCCTGGGAACGGTTAACTAAGCTTCAGGGGGACTGGCCCCTCCCTGATTCACTTGCTCTTTCAACTTCAAAACCATGGGAACTCTCCTCCCTTACTTTCAGCATTGCTTCTGTAGTGGTTTTGTTTTTGTTTGGTTTTCTTCTACTCTTTGAGCCTCACTCAAGTCACTTTCTCAGCCCTGAGGAGAGAAATCAGTTTAGCTAACAGGGCAAGATGAATTCACCTAAGGAAGGACTGTTAACCACCGCTACACTCACATGGCCCTTTATAAAGCCTCCGGCATACATTCTCTCCTTGTCCTACAGAAACACTCCTGGCTCTAACTGCTAACACCCTTTTACAAAAGAGGAAATTGACAGGAAGGCTATATGACCATGAAATGCCAGGGCTAACTTGGAATCCAAACACCTCAGGTGCCCCTCCGCTCCGGGGTCAGCTGCGTGGGAGTCGTTTCAGATCTCAATATCCTCAGCAGTAAGGAAACACCATCCGTGAATGTGGCTGGTCAGCTGCAGAGTTCCGAGCACGGGCATCTGTGTTCAGGCCATCACGCCACTCAGCAGCATCCCCCGGCCCACCGGGCGCGACGGCATGGTGATACCTATACGGGCGTGCCACGTTCCCCGGTGAGGCGAGGCCGTGGGCGCCGGACCCCCCCGCGCCCCTCGGAAAGGTGGGCCCTAGGAAAGCGGCCTCGCCTTGCGGCGAGCTTCGCCACGACCGCGCACCTGTAGGCGTCTACGACGCGGAAGCCCTTGGAGAGAGCCAGGCGTGTGAGGAAGGCCCATGCGTGGCTCAGCCAGGTAGACAGTGACCCCAGGGAAGCGTGCCGCGGAGGAGGGGGCGGTGTCCGGGGTCCCGACCCGCGCTCGCCGCCGTTTTGGTAGCATTCGTCCCCTGCCCGCGGGTGGCGCCCGGCGAAAGCAGAGGGAAGCTGGACAGAAGCCGGAAGCCAGCGGACGGAAGCCAGCGGGCGGAAGCCGACTGGAAGGGGAAGTGGCGCCCGGCCACTCAAGGAGGCAGGCCCCGCCCCATGCAAATTAAGTCTCTGGGCGGATTTCGCCCCCAGGGTCGTTTGGAGCGAGGTAGAGGTCCCGGGGTTCCACCTGATTGGGTGTTCCGGCCTCTCAGCGCCAGAGGCCCCGCCTCTATGCAAATACAACCAGAGCACACGCCTTTTATTTAAATTACACTCGCGGAAAGTCCCGTCCCATCCTTGGGATCACCCGGGAAGAGAGACTGGGTTGGAGGGTAGGGGGGTCGGGTAAAAGGGGTGCGGGCAGAAGCTGGAAGGGAGGAGGCGGAGGTTAGGGAAGTCGTCCTCGGAGGCTAAGAGGGGAGATCGAGGTGGGGGTATCCGGGGAGCCGTCCTCGGCGCTTGGGGGGAGGGGGATGTTAGTGGTGGGTCCTTGGCGGGTAGGAGAGGGATCCGTTCTCAGCAGGAGAGGAGTATCCGCCCCAGCCCCTGCTATTCGCCCCCTCCGACTGGGTCGGGCTGGACCGATGGGCCCCGGAAACCTGGCGGCGCCGGGCCCCTGGATAGCGGGCCCGGGCAGATGCGCGAGTGAGCGTGCTGGTGGAGCGACCGCTTCAAACCCCTGGAAAGGGTTTTCAGTCTTTCTCAATCGAATGGCGTTAAGGACGACTGGCCGGCCATTTGGAAAAATGGAAGTTGGATCCCTCCCTTACTGTTTAACACCAAGATAAAATCCAGATGGATCAAATATTAAAATCTAAAAAAGAAAAAAAAATGTACTGGGGAGTCGATGAATGTTTTATGGTCTAAAGTATCACAATAAACCTGAAGACACTAAAGGAAAAGAATGATAAACTTGAAGACATGCAAATTTAAAATGTATTTAAACATTAAAAGGCAAACCAGGGGAAGAGTGTGACACATTTTGAATTTAAATCTAATTCCTGTAATTATGAAATTGTCCACGGATTAATAAGGAAAAGACGACAAGCAAGAACACCAGTAGGCAATTTACAGAGGAAATGCTACTCAAAAACATACCAGATTCCATGACTCGTCCAATCAGGGAAGGGCAAACTTAAATGAGAGTATCTTCACTTATCGCATTATCCGACGTTTACAAAATTGATCACACATGAGGGAACTGGCAGATTGTAGGAGGGACTTTTTGGAAGCCAATTTAGCAACCACAGCCAACAAAATGAAAACAAAAATCTCACCCAGCAATTCCTTTTCCAAGATTGGTATTGTGTTGAATCCCTAGACCAGGTTGGGAAAGCTGACATCTTGACAACATCGAGTGTCCCTGTATGTCTCTCATATTTTCAGACACTACGTTTTGGAATCTCTTTGTTATGCTATGTGATCTCCTCAGTCTTCCCTGCCTGTGGCACAGGGCTGAAGCAGGCTGGTGCCTCAGCCCAGGCCTCCTCTCAGCCTCCACACCAGCTCCCGACCTGCCCTCCTGGGCCCAGGACACACACCCTGGCTGGGAGGCCTGGGATGCGGCCCCTCTCTCATTTCCTGTGCTCGTTTCTCCTCCTGCCATCTGGGAAGGGGGAGCTCCCAGGCTCTCTGTAAGGAGTCCGTGTTCCCCATCTGTGGGTTCTGCCTTTCCTCAGAGAGCAGCAGCCTACCCCTGAAACAATTTCCATTCTTCTTGATGGCCTCTGTCTCCATCCCAGGCACCTGGGTTCTCTCTTGGGGCGGCAGAGGCAGCTTTTTTTTTTTGCGGTACGCGGGCCTCTCACTGCTGTGGCCTCTCCCGTTGCGGAGCACAGGCTCCGGATGCTCAGGCTCAGCGGCCATGGCTCACGGGCCCAGCCGCCCCGCGGCATGTGGGATCTTCCCGGACCGTGGCACGAACTCGTGTCCCCTGCAACGGCAGGCGGACTCCCAACCACTGTGCCACCAGGGAAGCCCCAGAGGCAGCTTTTAATGACCCATCGCACCTGAATACTTAAAATACTGGGCAACTTGCAAAAATGAGGATTTCCACAGGCCCAGGGAAGTTTTGTGAGGGGTGATCCTCAGTGCCCACTGAGTGGAGGCCTGGGCACAGGTGGGCAAAGCCACAGCATCGATGGTTGGCGTGCTCCTCTCCTCCCCTCCCTGGACCACCAGGTCACTGTCCATCCAGCTGGGAAGCGGAGACCTCAGCCCTCTATCTCCAATAAACCTGGCTTGGGATTCCCAAATGTCTAAGTCCCCAGCTCCCTGCTGCCCACGCTGAGACCACCCCCCAAAAAAAAGTCAGAGGCTGCACAGATGATCTCCTGGCTGGGCCCTCTCAGCGGCCCTGAAGGTGGCAGTCCTCCCTTGTGTTCTGCACTGTGCTTTCTCATGCTGTGTTTTGGATTAGTTTTACCCAGATGTATGAGCTTGCATTTTTCCAAGATGAATCTCATCTAGCTATTTCCTGTTCCCACTTCCAGTTCAGAAAAGGCCCCTGGGGGCGATTTTTCAGTCCTCGTGACCTTCATAAAACCTCCCCATGGAGCACCGTCTTTGAAGTCCGCTTCAGTGCTGTTGGCGCCTGTCCTTGGCCTGTGGGGCCGGGACTCTGCCTGGCTCTGAGGCCCAACCCCCCACCAATTCCCATCTCCTGCGGGTTACTTGCCAGCTGCATTCCAGAGGGTGTGCGGTCAGCCTGCTGATGCTGTCGGACTGGAGCTCCTGAGGACCACTGGCCCAAAGTTCTGGCCTCTAGTGCCACTCCCTGGACCTTCCTGAGCTACCCACTGCATCACTGTGGGTTTGGGCTATCTGGTGCATCAGTCTGCCCAGGCTGACAGAACAAAATACCACAGACAGGGCAGCCTAAACAAAAGAAACATTTCTTATTGTTCTAGAGGCCGGAAATCCAGGATTAAGGTGCTGGCAGGCAGCTTTCATTCTGAAGCCTTCTCTCTTGGCTTGTAGGCGGCCACCGTCTCTCTGTGTGCCTACACGATCTCTTTGTGTGCTTGTGGAGAAGGAGAAAGAGATCTCTTCCTCTTCTTATAAGGCCACCAGTCGTATCAAATTAGGACCACACCCCTGTGACGTCATTTAACCATATTACTCCTAAAAGGCCTTTCTCCAAATACAGTCACATTGGGGGTTAGGGCTGCAACATATGAATCTGAGGGAACATAATTCAGTTCATAGTACCTGGTGTATTTGGTCCTGTGCTGCTGTAACAAATTACCACAAACTGGGGGCTTGAAACAACAGAAATTTATTCTTGTAGTTCTGAAGCCTGGAATTCTAAGATCAAGGTGTTAGCAGGGCCGTGTTCCCTCTGAAAGTTCTAGGGGAAGATCCTTCCCACCTCCTCTAGCTCCTAGTGGCTCCTGGCATTCCTGGGCTTGCGGCTGCATCCCTCTGATCTCTGCCCCATCCCCAACCCAATGGCTGCCTTCCCTCTCTCCCTTCTCCTTTTCTTATATATATATATTTTTTTAATTTTTAATTTATTTTTACTTTCTGGCCACGCTGCATGGCATGCGGGATCTTGGTTCCCCAGCCAGGTTCAAACCCGTGCCCCCTGCAGTGGAAGCGCAGAGTCTTAACCACTGGACCACCAGGGAAGTGCCCCCCCACCTTTTCGTATAAAGGCACCAGTCATTGAATTTAAGGCCCACCCTTAATTCAGGATGACCTCATCATGAAATTCTTAATTACATCTGCAAAGACCCTTATTCCAAATGTGGTCACAGTCTGAGGCTCCTCATGGGCATGAATTTGGCGGGGGGGCACCATTCATTCTACTACCCTGAGTCCACACCTCCGACCCAGGCTCAGCCCTGGACTCTGCTGACAGGTTCCATGGCCCATCATGGATCCCTGCAAAAATCCGTCAGAGCTGCAGGATGTAGTTTCTGATAGGAATAGATGTGCTCATGCCAGGGACTGTGGCTTGCCATGGGCCTGCCAGGTTATGTGACCAAAGGAGATGCTTTATTTTTGAGAAACTATACTGTCTTTTAAGGAAAACGTGGGTCCCTTTGCTTGTTGGATGGTGTCTAAGTCTGGTCAGGCAGCTATAATGAATACCACAGATTGGGTGACTTGAAAAAAACAGACATTAATTTCTCACAGTTCTGGAGGATGGACATGTGGAATCAGGGTGCTGGAAGATTCAGTGTTGGTGAGGGCCCACTACCAAGCTGCAGATTTTTCACTGTATCCTCATATGTCAGAGTGGGTGAGACATGGTGCCTCTTTTATAAGGGCACTAATCCCAGTTACGAGAGCCCCATCCTCATGACCTAATCACCTCCAGAAGGCCCCACCTCCTAACACTAGCACCTTGGGCATCAGGATTCCAACATGTGGATTTGGGGGAGGGGGGGACACAAACAGATGGGCTCTGTGTAAGAAGGAGGTGGGGGGATTGGAGGCCTGGGGCAAGATCTGGAGTGGGAAGACTGGGCCAAGGGGTAGAGAAGAATCCCTGACTCCCTCCCACCATGGGGACTTGGCCTAAGAATGATGGAAAAGAGATAGATGTGTCCTTAAAATGAAGGCTCTTAGCGTTCATTTGTCCAACCAGCCCTGACTCAGCATGGTTGGTAACCCTTAGGGGAAGGGCTAAGTGGTCTGGAAGAATTACGAGAAGAGGGATGTTTGCTGAACCAAACTCCATCACAAATTGACACAACTGTCTACCCTTCCCACCACAGGCAATTCCATTGATATTAAGGCAGAATATGACATTATTACATTCTTGAGTGAACAGACCCGATGTCATTTAGGTATTTTCCAATTTACTACTGTTATTGAAATAAAACAGAGATATGACTGTGGGGAGTTCCAGCTTATCGGCTTCAAGGAGAGCCCTGGGCTGGAAAGTTTGGCTGAATGCCCAAGGTTGTCATGGACGGTGGCCCACGGGGTGGAGGGTATTGAGAGGCCAGATAGGGAGGCAGCAGCCTGCCCCAGGATGTGGGGCAGGTCAAGGTCAGAGTCTGTCCTTCACTGGAGGAAAGGGGGGTGGGTGGTTAGCTCAGGAGGGTGTCCGTGGTCAGGGCCGCATGCAGATGGAAAAGGATGGAATCTG